TTATATTTATATATATATAATTGTCTTCAATTTTTGGCATCTTACACATTTGTTGATTTTTTTTTTATATATATATAAAGATAAGGAAAAATTCCATAATAATAAAACTAAAATAACATTAGAAAACAATACAAAATTATAATTTTTCTCTCTACTTCTCTGTGCTCTTCCCTCCTGCTGTTGCTCCAAACCGGCTTGATGTTAAAACATTACAATGACGTGGATAGGTTTGCTCGTACAAATGAGTATTTGAATTAAGATCCAGCTGTCTAGAAATAGATTTCTAGATATAGACTCTTTAGATTCCATATATACAAGCTGCTAGGCGATGGGTTACCCACTAGCTCGTGTCTGCATTGCAATAAATAGTTCATTTTGTGCTTTCTGTTGCTACAACATTAGGAAATTACAGTCAGATCATCTCAAAAGCATGTGTTTTGGCAGATACAACACGAGCTACATTGAGAACGTGGAAAAGATCTGAAAACAAATTATTTGGAATGTACAATAAACCACACACGAGAATATATACAAAACCCAGCATAATTAATCAGAATCAATCCTTGTAGGGTGTAAATTAACTAGTTGCAGTAACCAAAAACGTAAACGCATCCAAATATGGCATATGAAGAGATAATTGTGTCCCGCCCCTTGGTTCTAAAGTGTGTGATTACTGATACAGCAATTAAAATAGTAACAGCCTCTATACAGTTGCCTGTAATGATGTGAGAGGATTATTCAGCCTTATCTATGTTCTGCATCAGAGATAATCACGGCTAATGATATCCCACCGGTCTACTATGATTCAAACCTCCTCCTCCTCCAGAATGTTTGCTCTGTTTACCAAGTTTCTCTTTTGGTCTTAAAGCGAACAAGTAGTTTAAGTCCGCTAAACCTCAGATCTGTGTGATGAAACTTAGAGAATATTACAGGTTCAGTAAAAGGTCTATTTGTGGCATGTCGTCAATTACCACAGAAGGTAATTTTGATAATCTTGGTTACTGTAAAGCAATTACAATGTAAGTAAATGGGTCAACACTAAAGACTATGCAAATAACTATATGTAAAGCAAATAAACCCTATAAACTTTACAAAATATTCACAATGAAAATGGCTTAATACATAATTAACTAAATGTAATTCAAGAATGAACTCAAATTTAAACCATACAGAACAGTAGTTCCACTACTAAAAAAAACAAATTGGCATAGAAACAGTTTTCACTCAGAAATTGCTAGTAAATTTGATAAATTACAATGACATGGCAAGTAAATCTTTGAATGAATCATGATATTTTGAAGTGGAAAGACTGAAATAGTATTTTCTTGTAAAATGTACTGCAAGCTTTTATTTCAAAATATATTTTTACAGTGTAGAAGATGGTTCATTCAACAGTAATACAACAAACAAGTGTGTTTTTTCAATTGACTTACATTGTAACAAACAAATATTATTGTAACTTTTTTTTATTTAATTTTCTTTAATAATAATTTTCTTTAGTAAACATTTGCATCACAAATTCTGCCAGAATTGTCCCAAAACAATTTCTGCTCAAATTGTACGATGGCATCAGATGTCTTGACATAAAGCTGTTTACCAGCAAATATGTTTACATCCTTTGCATAATCTTTGCAGTATTTAAATGGGAATTGTGGCATTATTCATGTTAAACATCTGTCAAGCACTTTGAATTGTTATCGTGCGTTTACATTAAATATTCACAACAATCAAAAACTAATGTGCTCTGTGCACTACAGAAGCTATACAATATGTTGACATAGATTAATTAGTTGCTCATGTGTTGTTGCGTTAAGAATTTTACAGTAACAGACATGAGTTGCAAGCACTCACATGTGAAAATGTAATATTTATGTCACTTTCCTCCAGCCTCCCACAACACAGCTAATGGCTACGGAGGTTTCAGCAGACCTCACAGATCTGTTCTAAGAGCTTGACTTTTTGCCCTACGTGGACTATTTAGAAAGCATTTTATAAAAATTCACCCATACACATGGGACTTAACACCAGCCGGCCTGTGTCACAGACCCTCGGTCGTGAGCATTAAGAAACACATTTAAAGCCCATGTTGTGGCGCGCTAGCCACCTGCATCCTTTCAGAAAACTGTTTGCTTATTTCCCTATGGCCTAACACTTGCTCTGAGTCTCTGACTGTTTTGATATACTCTAGGGCTGGGATTTCACAAAGCATCCCCATTGGACACGAGCTCTTTCTGAACACGATGAGAGCTGCAGTGATGAGACTTGATGTGAGGAGGGTGATGCTCTCTGACACAATTCATGAGGCGTGCAAGCAGTTTTACATTCTCCACCGCAACACATTTTGACTCAAAACGCTTGTGATGCTACAGGCCCCAAATTTCATTTGGTTGTGGCGGAGCTCATGATATGCCATTACTTTAGTGTTTTACTGTTTGTTTTTAGCGGGAAAGTGAGGGGAAGTACAAATCAGGCCATGGCCTGCAATTGTACCTCAAGTCAAAGGCAAAATTGATGCTATTTAATTTTCTTAATAAACATTACTGGTCTTGTTTTGTGGAAGCCTGGTACACTTCAAAGTAAAAAAATAGAAGTGAAATTGTGAGATAATATAACAGTCACATTGTGATAACATTGCATAATGACGTCTGCAAACTTTGAATAAAAAGTTCCACTCAGAGATTTAAACTTGCATTTTAAGATATAAAATTTAATTGAGATATAAAGTCATGTTTACAAGAAACAAAATTGCAATTGTGAAATAATGTCACATTGTTAGGTGTAAAATGCTACTGTGAGATATAAAGTAAAAAATTGTGTAATGACATCTTTGAAATTTGAACGTTGCATCTTTGCATCAAATGGTAAGATTAAAAAATGTTGTCTTTGAGAGTTAAACTCACATTGTGAGATGTAAATTCAAAATTTGAGATATGAAGTTGAAAATTGTGTAATGGCATCTTCAAACTTCAAATGTGAAGCATCTTCCATTAAATGATCAGATAAAAAGTTCCATTTTGAGATTTAAGCTCTCATTGCGAAATGCAAAGTTAAGTTGTGAGATAAAGTTGTATTTACAAGAAGCAAAACTGTAATTGCAAGATAAAGTAATATTGTGATATATAAAGTCAAAAATTGTATAATGGAATCTTCAAAAATCGAATGGGAAGCATCTTCCATCAAATTACGAAATTAAAAGTGCAATTGTGAGATAAAGCCACTGTTGGGTATAAAGTCACATTGTGTGATATAGTTAAACTTGCTTAATGGCATCTTCAAACTTCAAAATGTAAAACATATTGTACTCAAATTTCAAGATAAAAATATTTCCACTGAGATTTAAAAGTTGCATTGTGAGATGTAATGTCACAATAACGCAAGGTAATAAATGCAATAAAGTCACAATGGCTAGATGTAAAGCCTTCAAATTTGCAATTTGAGATTTAAACTCCCATTGCAAGATGTAAAGTGATTAATTGGGAGAAACAAAGCTGCAATTGTGAGAGTCCCATTGTTAAAGTCATATTGTGATAAATAGTTTAAAAATGGCAAGAAATGTCACTTACAAGAAAAATAGGAAATTGCAAAGCTCCATTTTGAGATTTGAACTGAAAATAACTGAAAAGTCATAATTACAAGAAAAAAAGATATCTTATTATAAAAGATAATTATAATTTTTTTCTTAAGCGGTAACATCTTCCATAATTTATGTACACATTATGCTAAAAAAGAAAACAAAAGTAAATACCTCACATTACAGAAGTGAAATGAGTTGCGAATGTGTTTCATTTTAACTTGAATATTACAGACAGATGAACGCCGGCACATGTTAGCATTTGAAACCAGAAGCAGTGTTATTTTGATTGATTAAATACAGCAACATCAGTGTTTTGCCATTAAAACAGGATGCTTCTTGTCATAATGATTCTCCGTAGTCTGTAAGTAACTATTGATTTCTCTGACATGTCGCTGGTTCGCTGGCCCAGAAGGTTTGCTGCCTTGAGCTCTAGTAAATACAGTATATGTTTGCTATCACTCACTCATAGGCCATCAACATGAAAATGACAACAGCCACAGTTACAGAAGTCTAAAAATATCAGAGCTGTGGGACTCATTTCTCACAGAAGCCATAACCTACAAACCCAGGAATTCTTCAGCACAGATTTTTTTTTTAGCCAGTCGTTGAGAAGCAGACATTAAAATGGAACATTCGTTCTTCCTAGAGTTACTGTAATTATTAGTGGTTGATGGTGGGTAACACCCTGGCAACCATCCATAACAACTTGGTGGCAATGTAAATACATCAATATGGTAGTCAAATAGTACCATGATATTACCATTTGATACCATCAAGGTGATTCCATAGTAACAAAAAGCTCTATATTTTTCCACAAAAGGAGCTTTTATTGCATTAGAGGATCAACAAATACCAAAGCGCTCTATAAAAAGAGTATTTTGGAGTTTAGGCCACCCACCGATCTTTTTAGGACAACAGTGCCAGAAGAGGCAGGGTTCCACGCGCTGATGGAAGATTCGGCCCACCTGGAGGTCAT